AAGGGAAATGACCACGCAAGGGCTAGCAGGCAACTCCCTTCCTAGGAGGCTCCTGTGGTCAGAACAAGTCATGGCAAGCTCCAAAGCCAGCCTAGGCCTCTTGTTCTCCTGAATCAGAGTAGGCTAGACTTCCCCACCACTGCTCAGGCTTTGGTGGTCAGAGGCTGGTATTGCTTAAGAACTCTCCTTTTCCTTAGTAAAACAGTAACAACAACAACGATAACTTGTTTTTACAGGGCACTTTAAGGTTCGCAAGACTATTATTAATCCCCGTTTTATACATTACAATAGGATAATAGCAAAGTCATACAACATATATGTATCTACGCAAGCCCAGCGCGCAGCCCTGGGCTGGCAGCAATGAACGATTGCTGGCTGGAGCCCCTCCTGGTCCCCGGCCAATTCCTTTGCAGCTGGAAAACAGGGGTGGGCCTCCTTCTTTACAATGGAGGAGGCAGGAGCCCTGCTGTTGTCCCCTCTTCTCCAGAGAAGGCTGGAGCCAGCAGAGCTGGAGATTTTCCTTTCTACACAGGCCTAGGCAGGGTTGCAGCAATTCAGGAGGGACGGCATCAAACCCACGTGTCCAAAACTGTTATGTTATACCCCCGCCCCCTGGCAGCAAGTAGAATGACATCGTGGCCAAAGCTACCATCCAGATTTCTGGGTACTCCTGTTCAAGACTCACAGTATCTTAGAGCAGAAAAGGAATATGAAAGCCGTCTATCGAACCCAAACAAGGACCACCTCTACCATTAGCCTGATAAATGGCCCATGGTTCTCTGCTTAGAGAGGTGGCTAGGTGGCGCCATAGTGCACAGAGCGCAGGACCAGGAGTCATCGAAGACCCAAGTTCAACTACAGCTTACTTTATGCAACACTGGGCAGGATATTTCAAATGTCTGCCTTAGTTACCTTATCTGTAAGATGGGGATGATAATAAGAGCACTTGTCTCCCCAGGTTGTTGTGAAAATCAAATGAGATAATATTTGTAAAGTGCTTTGCAAATCTTAGCTGTATGAATAATGGCTATTACTACTGACAACCTTCAATGAGCACTCAGGCTCAGAAAGCCTTGAATGAATGAGGGAAAGCCATTCTGGGTTAGTGAGAAGTGACCATGGTTTTGTTTTCAAAGGAATATGAAAGGAAGTCATCTTCCTAAGATTTTAAGCAGGATTTTGACTCTCCAGATGACCCAGGCCAATCTTTATTTTATGGATGAAATCATGGTGCCTCAGAGAGGTTAAGTGATTTACCCAAGGTCAAGCAGCTGAGCTGGGATTTGGAACCAATTTTTCTGATGCAAGATCTAGGATTCTTTTCCCTGTGCCATGCTTACAGCCTAAGTCTTCCTTCCTACAAGTCAGTGGGCATTTATTACAGGAATAAACATTTATTAAGCACTTACTGTGTGCCAGGCACTGTGTTAAGCACTGTGGATACAAAATAAGACAAAGACCTGGGGGGGGGGGCTTGCAGCATCAGGGTCACATGTGGCCTTCAGCTGGCAGGTTTCCCACCCCTGACCCAGACCTTGCCTTCAAGGAGTTCTCTTTCTGGTTGGGTAGATGACATGTAAGTAATTCTATATCTTTGTGCAATTACATTGTGACAAAGCTGAACTGGGAATCCAGAGACCTGGGATCTGCTTCCAGTTCTGCCATTAACCCACCTGTGCTTCCCTTTCTGGGCCACAGCTTCCTTTCCTGCAAGGTGCAGGTGATGATACTGTCTGCCTGCTTACTGCACAGGGTCATTACTAGGATAACATGAGGCAGGAGGGTTTGGTGGAAAGGACTTAATGTCAGGAAGCCCAGAGGTAAGTCCCAGATCTAACTAACACCTACTGTATGACTATGGGAATGTTATCTAAACCCCAGTGGCAGCTAGGTGGCGCCATAGCGCACAGAGCACTGGGCCTAGAGTCAGGAAGACTCATCTTCCTGAGTTCAAATCCGGCCTCAGACACTTATTAGCTGTATGAGCCTGAGCAAGTCATTTAACCCTGTTTGCCTCAGTTTCCTCATCTGCAAAATGAGCTGGAGAAGGAAATGGCAAATCACTCCAGTATCTTTGCCAAGAAAACTTCAAATCAGGCTACAAAGAGCTGGACACAACTGAACACACACACACACACACACACACACACACACACACACACACACACAGTTTCCTTATCTATAAAAGGAAGGGACTGGAGTACATGATCTAGAAATTCACTTCCAGCTCAACATTTGTGTGATACTGATAGAGACCAGGAGAGAGGTGGCCAAATGAATAATTGCTGGCATTTCTATAGCATTGACATGCTATTTCACTGGAGCCTTGCAATAATCTTGTGAAGGAGGTGCTATGATTGGCCCCATTTTACAGAGAAGGAACCTGAGTTGAGAGAGACAAAATAATTTTCCCACGGTCACACAGCTGGTGAGTGTCTGAGGTGGGAGATAAACTCAGGTCCTCCTGTGTCCAGGTGCAGTGACCATCCACAATGCACCTAGCCGCCTTTCAAGTTATATGCCTTAGACGCATTTTTTATCCATTAGAGCACTCTGGGGAGCAAAAGATAGCAGGTATCACCTGCCCAACCATTTCTACTTTGTACAGATCTATGCTTCTTGTGAAAGCACAGATTTAGAGACCAGACCTGGGAGATGATGTAGCCCAAAATCCTTATTTTACAGATGAGGAAACCAAGGCTCCAGTGACTTACCCAAGGTCACACATCTAAGAAGCGGCAGAGAGGGAATGTGAAGCCAAGTCCTTTGGCCTTAGACCCACAGCTCTTTCCAGTGCATTGGAATGGAGGAGGGGGAAGGGGGACATCAGAACACCAACGAAGAATATAAAAAGGAAAGTATTAACTCAGACCAGAACCAAAGTATAACTTCTGTTGGGCTACAAATTCTTCAACCTCTCTGAGACTTAGTTTCCCCATCTGTGAAATGGGAATACTGATACAGCTAACACCTACATCCCAGCGCTGTCGGGGAAAAGCACTCGGAAAACTTTAAAAACCTACAGAGGTGCGAGTTGTCACTGTAGGTAATCTCAGAGGTGCTTTGTTTCCTTCTGCAACGAAACTGTAAAAATAGATAAGAAAGGAGATCAGTGGGGGACTTGGAAGCGAATAGAACAGATTTGTTAAAGTTTAATAGAGATGAGGGGGGAGGGGCCAGGGACCCCACCAGGTCAGCCAGCTAGAGAACTTCAAAGAACCCAGATGACTTCTTCAGTGTGAAGGAATGATCCCGGAAACTATAGGCAGGTAAGAAATTTGACTGGCTTACACACGCCCTCTCCCCCTCTGGTAACTACCCTAGATTAGGAGCAAGATCAATAATTTTAGGTTGTAATTTCATGATGCTACAGCAAGATCTCAGAACAACTAGGATCATAGGTGATCACCATATTAAAATAAGGTGGTGCAGGAGAACGTCTGTTTTGGAGTGGAGGAGCTGCATTCAAATCTCAGCTCTGCTCTTGGCTATCTTTAGGGCCTTGTTGGCAAATCCCTTCTTCCTGTGTTTGTAAAATGAGGAGATTGGATCTGATGACTTCTGAGGCTCCTTCCAATTCTAAATTTGTGATTAATCTTCTGTACGCCTCAGGGCACCCAGTCATTTCAGTCATTTCAGTCATGGCTGACTCTTCATGACCCCATTTTTCTTGGCAAAGATACTGGAGGAGTTTGCCATTTCTTTCTCCAGCTTATTTTACAGATCAGGAAACTGAGGCAGACAGGGTAGCGTGACTTGCTCTGGGTCACACAGCTAGTAAGTATTTGAGGTTGGATTTGAACCCATGTCTTCCTGACTCAAAGAGGCCCAGAGCTCTGTCCACTGCTATCCAGTTGCCTCTGTATGCCTCTAACTGGGGGGTATAGTAGGTGCTAAATAAGGTCTCACTGATTGATTTTTGTTTGCTCTGAATGAAAAAGTCTAAATTATTTTTGATAATGGAAAGGAAATAGATCAAAGCACAGAAAATAATCATAATAATAATAATTGCCACTCACCTGGACAGAACAAATACAGTCACTCCTACCCCAGCTCTGTGCTGCTTGGTGCATGCCTATGAGAGAAAATGACTGTTTAATTTCTATCACCCTGTTGCCTAAATATTTGCCAATTTGAAGGAGAAGAAAGAGAGATGCTTGTTTAAGCCAAGGAAGTGGAGTAGAGAGGAATAGGGATCCGATATCTCACTCTAGATAATTGAGGCAGCCCACATATTGAAAAGGACAAAATAATTCTGGGGCGGTGATGAAGAGCTGGGCCTGGAGTTAGGCAGACCTGGATTCAAAGCTGGCCTCAGACACTCACTAGCTGTGTGTCTCTGGGCCAGTCCCTTTACCTGCCTACCTCAGTTTCCTCATCTGTAAAATAAGGATAATAATAGCAGCCACCTCCCAGGATTGTAGGAAGTTTCAAGAGAGATAATTGTAATGTACTTAACATTGTATCTGGTACATAGTAAGCACTACATAAATGTTTGCTATAATTATTATTATTAAAACACTCTGCAAACCTTAAAGTGCTATATAAACAGTGCTGTTATTTTATTATTATTAGCTATTAAAATCCCTTTGTCTTGGGGGTGGGGTAGAGGTGGGCCAGTGGAGTTGGTTTGAGAAAATGCAAGACTCAGACCCAGGAGACATGCACTGGTATTCATTAGCTGTGTGACACCTCTCAGAGCCTCAGTTTCCTCATCTGCAAAATTGAACTAACCCTTGCAACTCTATCCTGTCTCAGGGGGCTGTGATGAGGAAAGGGCTGACAAACATGCCAACTTCACCTAAGACATAGGCTCACAGACCCATAGAGGTCCATGTCGTTCCTCCACCCACTCCTTATTTTTCAGATGAGGAAACTGAGGCTCAGGCAAGTGAGGTGACTTACCCAAAGTCACACAAGTAGTGTCAGATATCGAATTCAGGTCCTTCCTATCCACTCATGCTTGCTTGAGTGACGGGTCCTTCCTATCTGCTTTCCAGAACCCTCCGTGGCCTTCTATGCTGGATTTCCCCAAGGGACCCACGGCCTTCGGCGGCCAGTGAAGTTCAATGCCACTTACCTGAACGTCGGGGGCGGCTACTTCCCAGAGCACGGCTTCTTCCGAGCCCCAGAGCGCGGAGTCTACCTGATTACTGTGACCGCCGAGTTCGGCCCAGGGCTAGGCGAGGGTCAGCTAGTGCTTGGGGGCCGACTCAGGACGTCGGTCTCTAGCGGCTCCGAGGATCCCACGGCCGCTGGAGGTAGCACCGCGGCCACCTTGGCAGTGGCCGAGCTGCAGAAAGGGGAGAGGGTGTGGTTCGAGCTCACGAAGGGCTCCCTGGCAAGGAGGGAGCCCAGCGGGAGCGCGCTGGGCGGCTTCCTGGTGTTTAAGACTTGAACCCAGAGCCACCACGTTGTTTCTTCTTCCCAAAGAGGCTATAAATGGCTGGACCGTGATTTCTATAGCACCACTGTGTTATCGCTACATACTCCCTGGAAGCCTTTAGCTAAAGCACATTTGGTGCTCAAGCTTCATGCTCTGGGTCCTCTGGGTTCAGCTTTTTCCCGAGGATGAGAAAACTCCCAGGGAGTCTGGAGTGCTTCCCTCTGGCCTTAGGACCTGAGGCCGGCTATTGTTGAAAGACTCTGCCTTGAGGACTGGGTAGGTCCAAACCTGGAGTTTGGCTAAAGCCTAAAGCAAGATTTGAAGAACCTCGGTTGGGGGGGAGGGAGGGAAGGGGCTGCCCTTCACCCCCTCCGGGGTCACTCAGTACTTAGGGGGACTCTTCACCTTTTCTGAGACTAGCAATTGCTCTAGAACTCTTCAAACCTCTTCCTCCCCTTGGTTTCTTTTCCATTCCTTTTCTACCTCTCTTGAGGTTCACCCCATGGGAAAAGACCTCAGCTGTCCAGTCAAGTCAAACCACACAGGGTGCTAAGTAATAAGGATTCAAAGAAAGGGAAAAACAGTGCTTCTGCCCCTGAGGAGGTCATGTTCTTATGCTGGAAACATCAAGGTAAGCTCGAGGACTTGGACTGCTCAAGAAAATGGCAGCTCTTTTTGTGGTGGCTGAGAATTGGATATCAAAAGGATGCCTGTCAACTGCAGAATGGCTAAAGAGGCTGTGGTATATGATTGTAATGCAATATTATTGTGCTGTAAGAAATGACGAGCAGGACGATTTCAGAAAAACCTGGAAAGACTTACATAACTGATGCATAGTGAAGTGAGCAGAAGTAGGAGACTGTTGTGCACAGTAACAGCAATATTGTTCGATGAAGAATGGTGGGCTGGTGACATTGCCCAGGCCTCCCCTCACTTAAATCCAATTCACTTGCAAGTCATGGCATCACCTTCGTGATGTCAGGGTCCTCTTCTAGAGCAAAATATAAACCACAACAACCCTATGAATGACTTAGCTAGTCTCAGCAATACAATGATCTGAGACAATTCCAAAAGACTAAAGGCAAAGCATATTATCTTCCTCCAGAGAAAGAACTGATATTGAATGCAAACTGAAGCATGCTATTTTTCACTTTCTTTCTTTCATGTTTTTTCTTTTATTCGAGTCTTCTTGTACAAAACGATTAATATGGAAATGTTTTACATAATTTCACATGTATATCTAATTGTTTACTGTCTCAGGGAGCAGGGAGAGGAAAGAGGGGGGGATAGAATTTGGAACTCAAAACTTTAAATAAAAATGTTTTTAAAATTGGAAAAAAGAAAAAGAAAATGGCAGCTCCTCACAATGGATGTGTTTTCTAACCAGAAGGCTCCATTCCGGGCAGTGTTACTAATTTCACACCCATGGGAGATAAAGTGAAAACCAGAAATGACTAAACTTACCCGCCCTAGGACCATAGCATTTGAGAGTAATTGAAGCCCATAGAGAACATCTAATTCCATCCTCTTGCTTTAAAGATGAGGAAAAGTGATAAGAAATTTCTGCTCCTGGGCATGAAGAAAACCAGGGTCCTTCCCTTGGCACCTGAAACCCACTAGGTTCATCCATAATTTCCCTTTTATTGCAAAATATTTCCCATCCTACCCCTTTTCCCTTCGGTTTAAGAATCCTTAAAGTAAAACTGAAGGACTCTAGGGCAAATTGTGGTTTTTTTATTTAAAAATGGAAACAACGATTTCCTTACTTCTCACAGATTCATAGATCGTTAAAACTATAACTAGGATGTGGTGACCAACGCTGTGACCTTGGACAGAGAAATTTATGGGGGGTATTGAAATCACTTTCTTCCCTTTGGCTGTAAAGAAATACTAACTAGCACCTAGTCAGTAAGAAGAAGTCATTGCATAGGAAGATACCAGATCACTGCCTCCTCTCCCTGAAGGCTTCGCCCCAGATAAGTTCCACTCTAGACAGATCTTCCCCATTTCTCCACCCTCCCCCACCTCACTGCAGAAGTCCCTCCAGCACTGGCCCTAGTGGTGTAGCAGGTTCTCTGCTACTTCCCCTCAATGATTCTAAGGCAACTTGTCCTGAATTTTTAAAAAAATCAGTTTCATCTCTCCTGCTAAAGATCCAGGGGACTTCTGAGAGCATCTTATTTGATAGAGGAATAAATTGAGGGTCAGAGCAGTGAAAGTCATCTAGCAAGAACCTGACCTTGAATTCATGTTTCTTGACTCCAAGGTCAGTGTTGGTTTTTTCCACTACTCTCCCATGCACCTCTGCTCCATCTTTTCCACCCATGGTCATGCCCAACTTCCAATGACTTTGGTATTCATCAGCATCTCTATCTACAGGAAAGGATGAGAAAGGATGGGAAAGGGAAAAGAATCAAAGCTCAAAAATAAAGGTCTCTTTCAATTACGATCGTTTCAAATAAATTTTTGTCCTTCCATTCCTTGTCACTTTTATTTGTGTTAACAAAAATGACAGCAAAAAGAGGAGGTTGAAACTAAAATGTTAAAAATAGAAATATTTGAGCTGTGGGAGGTTGATCATTTTGGTTACATTGGTCTCCTCCATTAAGGAATTCATTATCCATTAAAAACCAAAACCAAGAACAAAAAAACACTATGCACCAGACACATGAGTGATAAAACTATGAGGGCGGATAAAGATAGAACTGAAACAAAAATCTGCTTGTCCCTCAAGTAAGGCCAACTTTAAAGAATACCAGATACCCATGGCAAGGCTTATAAACCATCTAAGGGAATAAACTATCACACTGAGGAATTTTTATAAAATCCCCAAACCTGGGCTCTGAACTCAGAAAAAGGGAGACTTTTAAAAAGTGGTTATCCAATAAGTAATTTTAAATAATTACAAATTAAAACACATTTTTTTTCTGTACCTAAAGTCACACTCCCTCTTGGTAGATGAGGAGAGAGGTTTCTAGAGGCCTAGTCAGAATTGATTCACTGCCATTAATGTTAACAAGGCTCCCTTGGTTCCTGTATGGTTTTACAACTTCATTCTCTTAGAAGAAAATATCTTTCAACATACCAAGAACCGCACTTGAGAGTCATTTCTTTGTGAGGTAGTAAACATAGGTAATTATATGTGTGTTTGTTGGGCATACCCGACTAAATCCAAATAAAATGTTTCCTAAAAGAAACTATTAAGTGCTCCTCAAAGAAAATGGGATACCTGACCCTGTCTTGATTCATCACTTCAAGAATCTGTGATTTCTTTCATTGGTGTGGCTATTACCTCTGTTGAAACAGATCACCACCCCTCCATGGCTCAGTTGAATAGCTTGTGAGTTGCCATGGCTAGGAAAAAATACAAAACCTCTCCGTGGTGGTCAGCCCTCTGGTTCTGGGGACTCGGATATATATTACACAAGGGAGTTCCATTTAACGGTTCAAAAATCTTCCTTCTGAATGTACTAATTATAAAGAAAAGAAATAGATCTTATCCATTAATCACATGAAATTGAATGTGCCTTTTCACAATCTGCTCTTCAGAGTGTTAGAGATGACATCACAAAATAGCATGGAGGCATGAGAAGGGAAATACACAAGACATAAAGAGATCATAAAGAGGTAGGTCAAGGACTGAGGTGCCAAGGTAGGAAGGAGGCAAATAGCTGTTTCATAGGCACATCTAGACTAATGACAAAGTGCCAACATTAAAGTAAAGCAACATCTATCATAGTAAACTTGGAATCTCATTGGTTATCTAATCCAAACCAACCTTGACAACAGAGACATCAGCAACTGCCTCCTAGACATTTCCAACTGGACATTCCATAGGGACCTCAAACTTATCATGCTAAAAACAGAACTCATTCTCTTTCCTGCCAAATCCACTCCTCTTTCAAATCCCCATGTTTCTTCTGAGGGTACTGCCATCCTTCCAGTCAGGTTCACACATTTAAGTCATCCTCAATCTCTCCCTCTCTCCCAAGCCACTAATTCAATCATTTGCCCTATCTTGTTGATTCTACCTCCAAGACACTTCTTGCATCCATCCCCTTCTCTCCACTAACAGGGTGGGCTACAACCATAGTGTGGGGGGGCCTTATTACCTTCCATCTGGACTAGTTGTAATAGGCTCCAAGATGGTCACCCAGCTTCATCTCTCCCCTCTCTGATATGTCCTCTACACAGCCAAGGTGGTGTTCTTAAAGTACAATTCTGACCATACCACTCCCCTACTCAATAAAAGCTAATGGGTGCCTATTTTAACATTAGTGCCAAATTTAAACTCTTTAGTTTGGCATTCAACACATCACCTCCTTCCCATACTCTACAGTCTATCTACACTGACCTTGCTATTCCTCACACACAACATCCTGTCTACTATCTCTACTTTTGCACAAGCTCTCTCTCATGGCTGCTGCTAGTGCCATCTAGTGGCCAAAATTGTCTTATTTACTCTCTCTATATAAATATATCTTTATAAATGTATATATGTGTGTATGTATGTATGTATGTATATGTGTGTATGTATATATATATATGTGTGTGTATATATATTTATATATGTGTGTGTACAAATATATGTATACGTATATGTATATGTATATGTATATGTATATGTATATGTATATGTATATGTATATGTATATGTATATGTATATGTATATGTATATGTATATGTATGCGTATGCGTATGCGTATGCGTAGGCGTAGGCGTATGCATATATGTATATGTATATGATGTATATGTATATGTATATGTAAGTGTATGTGTATGTGTATGTGTATACATATGTGTATACGTATGTGTATGTGTATGTGTATGTGTATCTGTATCTGTATATGTATATGTATGTGTATGTGTATGTGTATGTGTATGTGTATGTGTACGTGTATACGTATGTGTATGTGTATGTGTATGTGTATACGTATATGCATACATATACGTATATGTATGTGTATGTGTATGTGTGTGTATATATATATATATATATATATAAATATATACGTATACGTATACGTATGTGTATGTGTATGTGTATGTGTATGTGTATGTGTATGTGTATACGTATGTGTATATGTATACGTATACGTATACGTATGTGTATGTGTATGTGTATGTGTATGTGTATGTGTATGTGTATATGTATATGTATATGTATGTGTATGCGTATGTGTATGTGTATACATATACGTATGCGTATGTGTATATGTATGCGTATGCGTATGCGTATATGTATACGTATGTGTATATGTATACGTATACGTATGTGTATATGTATGTGTATATGTGTATATATATATATGTGTGTGTGTGTGTATGTGTATGTGTATACGTATACGTATACGTATACGTATGTGTATGTGTATGTGTATGTGTATGTGTATACGTATACGTATACGTATGTGTATGTGTATGTGTATACATATGTGTATACGTATATGTATACGCATATGTATGTGTATATGTATATGTATGTGTATGCGTATATGTATATGTATGTGTATGCGTATGTGTATGTGTATATGTATGCGTATATGTATGTGTATACGTATACGTATGCGTATGTGTATATGTATACGTATACGTATACGTATGTGTATATGTATATGTATGTGCATGTGTATGTGCATGTGTATGTGTATGTGTATGTGTATGTGTATGTGTATGTGTATATGTATACGTATACGTATGTGTATGTGTATGTGCATGTGCATGTGTATGTGTATGTGTATGTGTATGTGTATATGTATATGTATATGTATATGTATATGTATGTGTATGTGTATATGTATATGTATGTGTA